AAAAACAAAACCTAACACTTCCTACAGGGATTATTAAGAGAAGAAGTACTCAGTAAATTGCGGAGGTTTTTGGCCTCTGTCGGATCGCCCTGTGTTGAGTTTACTGCGTCTCCCGCCAAAATGACATTTAAACTCATAAATGCTGGTCTGTCCACCGTGAGCGCAAACGAAATGTAAGCAACTATAGCATTTCACAGGAGCTTGTTGAATTTCAACTAATGTTTTTTATTTGTAGTTTTCAATGGACAACTATCATGAACTGATCCAAGATATGAGCCCTTAAGACAGATAGGTTAGTAAACTTGTTCCTTGTGGAATGTGGCTCGCGTTATATGAAGTTCAAATTTAAAGAACTGAAATAGCCATGCAACATTGCATGGTTTGAGGAAACGACAAATTACTTACTTTTTTCAGCCACTTTGTGGGACATAAACTGTTATGTAAACTAAAGCCTTAAGGTTTTTTACTTAAGAGTTATTTCCTTATGTAGTATCCATAAATTTTCAAATTTAACTGTGACCGGGTGGTAAAAAATGTCAATCACGGAATATTGTTTGATTTATCACAGAATTCTCATTTCCAAAATCATGAGGAATGTATGACAGACAGTGCAGAGAAGTGATATTTAGATCCTGGAAGAAAAAAGGGTTTAAAAGACCAGGCAGACTGGATATTTTCTATCGCCTATTGTGCTCTGAATGTTGGCGAGTTTTACTCATTGCCTTGTCTGAAGCTGGCACCTCCTATCATGCATTTTTCTAAGATGCAACTTTTGTGTAGCTTATTTTAACATTTTCCTTGATCTATCTGTCTTCTCAGACCTTCAACTTTGACGTGCAGAAGCTGGATTGGAACAACTATCTTTTGCACTTCATTCTCGGCCTCAAGAAATTTGTTCTCAAAGAAGATATGGCCAATCTTCCAGTTGCGCAAAGCCGCATTCGCAGGCAAGACTCTTAACATGCTATCAGTTTTTTTGTACTCTTATAATAGTATATAAAAACATATTTCACTTTGAATTTATTAGAATAAGTCGCTGTTGGCTTAGTTAAGTAAGGGTCAAGAGATTCTAAATGCGCAAAATACAGGGTAAAATGAAATTTTAGAGTGATACTAATTTTTGTGTAAAAAAACAAGACACACCGAATCTTTTACTACCCTCTGCTTAACCCTCGCACCTTTAAGAATGACTAACATCCTATTTCTCCTTACAATATCACCCCTGAGTCAAACATGAAGGTCACGAGAATAAAGGAAATGATCACCAACTCAGGAAGCTCATAAATGTTAAACTAATTCTTCTTAACAGTATGGAGCATATGCTTATTGATGATTGGATATAAAGAGAAGAGATACCGTAAATGTCTTAGTGTACTACTGGGTTTGAGGTATTCTCGTTCCTCGACCAGCTAGTCGGTGGAGACCACGTTTGTCGTTGATTTTCCAGGAGAAATAGAATAGTTCGTTCT